AAAAGGTTGTTTAAACAGTTTTATTGAAAATAATGACCCTACTGAGAGTGCTAATTGTATTCTCTCCCAACTATAATCCGGTAGATATGTTCGTCACCATACGACACTTGGAATATTTTTTAATTTAAATTGCCGTTTTAGCGTGGTATCGTACCCTTTTTGCGATGTCAATCTAACCCACCTGATACAAATCTTTTCAATTTCTGAATCTAGGTGATTGAATACGAAGTTCGGAGAGTCTATTTGAGGCTTAAAGTATTCAACACTCAGTGAATTTTCTGGAGCACAAATACAACAAGTTTTTAAGAGAGCACATGGAGCGCAATTTTATGTGAGCAAAAATGAAGTTCAAAACCTGATATCAGCGATTTTAACCAGGGCTGCAAACCACTCCAAAAATCGGTGCGGTTTGGTTCAGTGGTTCGAATGGCTAAATTATTTAAATATTACAAAAATATGACAAATCCATAATATAAAAATTAAAGGCTTGTTATTGAGATCAAATTTAAATATCCACATATATGTATAGTGGCAAAAATAGGGACGCAACATTTTATCAAGTATTGGCTACTTTTCTTTATTTAATGTTTATTTTTTTTTAATCATATAAACCCAATTTGAAATTTTGTGCAAAAATTATGAATATTCTGTACAGTTTCATCTAAATTGAAAACTTGTAAATAAAAATTTCTAGGAAAAATTTTTAAGTTTTAAGTTGATTTTTAGCAATTTTTCATGGATTTTCTTCCATACATATCGTCACCTGAAATGCAAAGAGACGTAACAAACATCATCGCTGAAATGCAAAAAGTCATAACCAATAAAACATTTAAAATTCACTTTTTGTTTTATATGATAGATTCCATCGAATTACAACTCTCCACATCATTTTAGGAAAAAAATAAAAATATTAGTCACGACTTTTTCCATTTCAGTTGCGATGTTGTTATGTATGTACATATGTACACTGCCGGAACAAAGTATTGGCACAGCAAATTTTTCACAATATATGCAACAATTTTTATTATAACATTTTTCCTCCAACTTTATATGAAAATATGGTTCATTCTACAACAAAAAACCTCAAAAAAAATAATTCCTAAACTTTGTGCAAAACTCCTGAAAAAATTTAGAAAATTTGCATGCAAATTTTCAACTTTTTAATCAGATTTTTTTTTAGTATGCAGCGCCATCATTTCATTATAATAAAGTAGAAGTTTTAAGTAGCTTGGAATTACCGTTGATTTTTGGCAATGTTTTTTCGAAAATACTTTATATGGAAAAAATGCAAAACATCTTCAACAAAAAAAAATGTCAAAAATCAATGCGATTTTTAACTTACTCCGAACTTGTATTTTTTTACTAGAATTGAATGAGCTGCAAAATTGCATACTCAAAAAAATACTAAAAAATCTGATTAAAAAATTGAAAATTTGCTGAATTTTCGCGAGTTTTGCACAAAGTTTCGGAATTATATTTTTATGTTTTTTGTTGTAGACTGAACTATATTTTTATACAAAATTGGCGGAAAAATATTAGAATAAAAATTGTTGCATATATTGTGAAAAATTCGCTGTGCCAATACTTTGTTCCGGCAATGTATGTTGGACAATTTTTTTCTATGGAAGAAAACAAAAAAAAAA